ATCGGACAACATCTATTTATTCATCCCCCTAAATGTTAAGGGTAGTCCACTCCTAAATTATTTTGTTTTAATTTTTAGATAATTTTTTATGATTTTTTTATGATACAGCATTAAAAAATACACTACCGCTAAATTTCACCCCTCTACAATCAACCCCTATTTTTTATTATAAATGATATACATGGCAAAACGACGTTCGCCGGATCAGCTAGTGTAATATAAATTGTCATGTTTGTGTACGATAGCGCAATCAATAAATATTGTATTCTACCACATAAATGATAGTACTTTTATACTGATAATTAAAGCAATCATTCCCTAACCATTCCAAAATATCAAAAATTGCACAACGTTAATATTCAAGTTTTCACTTCTGCCGGCACTCCCGGAGTGCAACCCGTCGTTTTTTTTTTCTTGATATCTTTAGTTTGCAGTTTGCACTTAAGGAAACCAAAAGCTTTTCGTATGTACAACTGAAAGACAACATCATTCGATGCAAATACTTAACTAAGGGTCTGTTTCACAATGTATAGATAAAGTACCAAATAGTTATGCAACACATAAAGTATATAGAAGATAAATTGTGCTATTTGCCACTTCATCGTACTCATAACTAATGACGGACTTTATGTGACGATTAGCGCTATCTGACAGTCGTGAAACGCAACAATAGTGTTTATCCTACCAATAAGTAATAAATAGCTAATTTGGAACTTATGTAGAACTTATCCGTACATTGTGAAACAAACCCTAAGTATCTTAAAGTTCACTAATGAATAAGGTCACGTACATAGGGTGATAGCTGTTGCAACGACCAAAGTCTGGTTGTAATCTGCAGTATACCTTTGGTGATATGTTTCCTTTGATCTCTTTCCTTGTGCAATCTTAAAATAAATAGTACAAGGGTTAGGGAAGTGTTATAAAGTGTATGGCTATTTGATGAAAAACAATATAAACAAGGTCATCACTTCATACGACGAGTGCAGTTTTTATATGCATAACTATGGCTATATACTTTAAACGTATATTAGTTAGACTCTTATAACTTTGAATGCAGCTTCCCCCGGCTTCATTGGTGCTAATCTGGACCTTTTGACATGCTTTATGTTCCTAGAACCACTATTACTAACGCACGACAGGAACACTAAAGATGAACTTCCTGTCGAAACTAACAAAAATTTTAATTTAGAATTTTGACGAAATAATTATCGAACTTTTCGACGCATGGCTCACCTCTGCAAGCTTCGTAACAGGTGCGTAGATTGTCGTAGGTGTTAAACTGATACGGACATTGCCCAATGTATGTTGTTTTACAATCTTCCAGGAGTATGTCGTAATAAAATCTGAAGTAAATAACTAATAATAGTCTAAGATTTATCATACTCAATTTTATTATTTAAATGCTTTTCTCATTACTTATTCTCTTGTGAAAGTTAATGTTTAGAACATAATAGAATTACTTTAAATAGTAACAGGAGTAGGTACATTCAAATTAATAAATATATTATTTCAAACATCTATTACAGATACCGGCAAACATCTTGAACAAATGTCCTTGCCTGCGCAGAAGCGATTTTTAGGTATCACGTGATTGTCGATCGCGTGATTGGTGACGAATCAGTTGTCGTTTATGTTACGTTGCGCAAACTTTCCCCCACTCCCTTGTTTAATGCTCAAGAAGTTTGCCGGTATTGTAAATACAATCAAGAACAACATAAAAGCGTTGCATAGTACCTTCTAAATATTGCGTTCGTGTGGAAATAGGGTTGCTAACGTGCTATTTTTGGGAAATACTTACACTGGTGTAAATTTACCCTTCCCGGAACAATCATAACCATTCGGTTGCATTTTACACGCCATATTCGAATCAACATTCATAAGTTCTGAAATAATATCAAAATGAATCAAGTACGTCAGGTCCAGCTAAAAACATACCGTGGGAAAAATTCGAAAAAAAAAAATAACTTCTTTAGGTCTTGGCCCCAGATTTCTGAATATGTTTCATGATCATTTTTAAATCTTATAGGCAAGTAGGTCATCAGCCTCCAGTGCCTGACACACGTCGTCGACTTTTTGGGTCTAAGACATGTCGGTTTCCTCACGATGTTTTCCTTCACTTCACAAATGTTAAATGCGCACAGAGAAAGAAAGTCCATTGGTGCACAGGCGGGGATCGAACCTACGACCTCAGGTATGAGAGTCGCACGCTGAAGCCATTAGGCCAACACTGCTCTATTCAAAGGAAAGCAAAATATATTTATCGATTCCATTTTTAAATTCAAACATCCCTAAGGAGTACTATTTAATTTCTCAAGATATAGTTTTTTTCATGTAACGGGGCAAACGACCAGGAAGATAACCTGATGTAAGTGATACCGCCCGTGGAAACTCAAGGCCACAATATTTAATAGTGGTTTTATTTTACTTCAATTAATTAAAACATTTTTAACGATATTATTCAATTACACGGAAAGGATGCTCAATTATTTAATTATATTAAAATTTTACCTTTATCCTCAATTTCCTTGGTTTTATTAACTGATGATGAAACATAGGATGCGATACAAAAAAATATTATCCCTGTTTTAAGCATGTCCACGTATGTTTTAACGAACAGTAATTAAAATTCAATTAACAATGAAAACACTATAAAAGCTTTATTATTCTTTGATTTATTACTAATTTAATGCTCTAGCAACCAGGGCTGGCTTGAACACTGGTTCCGAAATTTTATACTTATGCATGACCTATCAAAATAATATAGGGGCAATCACCACCAAGGTTTGAAGGAGGCTTTATCGCACGAGTTCATTTTATTAAACTATGTCTGGTCTTCTCATAAAATGGCTTAAAAATATTTAAAGAAATACACGTAGAAACGTGGCGTCAGAATGGACGGTCACTAGTGTATAACGTTAAAATGTAATTTAAAAATTACTTCCCAATTGCTTCTATTTAATTCCTACTATAAGAAATTTGCTTCCTTAGTATCTTGGGAGAACCATAACAATTAAAGTGACCGTCCATTCTGACGTCAGAATGGCTTGTCACCTGTCCTATTGTACTCACTACAATGAATTAAAATCGATTAATTCATAGTTCATATTTTGCTTAATATTTGCTACTTCCTAGGTTTTCAAACCTCGATGCTGTAACTCATGGAATTAAGATATCGAACAATGTTATTTCAATTCCCCCCAGCGCCTGGTAAAAATATACAGGCAAAATTATTTTGTTAAAAATAAGTTTATTTATGGTTTATTTAAATAAATAAAGGTAGGTAAAATTATTGAATGAGATACATTTATTTTTATTTCAATGAATGTAATAAAATATTTAGCTATTTGTATTATAATGTTTATTTGGTTCTATGGAGTGAGGGCTCCTGCCAAGGAGACGGTTTTTCGCCGGGCTTAGCTCCGGCAAAAAACATGACATGCACACACAGCATGAGGCCTAAGTATTTTAGAAGTACATAATTACACTTATTATAATTATGTCTTAATAAATCTGATGAAAAACATGAAGCGTTCTGTTACTACCTACCTTTATTTATTTAAATAAACCATAAATAAACTTATTTTTAACAAAATAATTTTGCCTGTATATTTTTACCAGGCGCTGGGGGGAATTGTAAAAACATTGTTCGATATCTTAATTCCATGAGTTACAGCATCGAGGTTTGAAAACCTAGGAAGAAGCAAATAGGAAGCAAAATATGAACTATGAATTAATCGATAATTCATTGTAGTGAAAACAATAGATAGGTGACCAGCCATTCTGACGTCAGAATGGACGGTCACTTTAATTGTTATGGTTCTCCCAAGATACTAAGGAAGCAAATGTCTTAAATTAGGAATTAAATAGAAGCAATTGAAAAGTAATTTTTAAACTACATTTGAACGTATATCCCATACCCCATTACGTACTATAAAGGAATCGATAAAATAAATAAAAATCTTTTAGGAAATATTATTTATTACACAAAATCGATTAAAAAAAACTTGATTTATAAACTCTGTGCCCGCGCTCAAATGCTCAACAGAGAACTTTAAAAAGATAATTATCATTCATTAATTAGTTTGATCAATTTAGAAAAAGATATCGTCAAAATTATTTATCACGAACTGTGCGGAGTTCGTTAGTCAAAGTTTTATTAGTAATAAGATTTACACAATTTCAATCGGATATACTTCTTAAAACTACGATGCAAACATTCCAAATACAGTAAAAGCTCCCTATTCGCGCTTCCGTCATTCGCGTTTTCACTATTCGCGGATTAAAAAAATGCAACCCAATTTCTTTATTCGCGGCAAAAAATTTCATACAAAATTCCAATAGGTGTTTAACAATATATATATAGATAATATGGAGTGTAATCCTGATATGAATGTTATGGAATGCTGGAAGAAATTTGACTTAGCAAAATGCATCGTAAACATAAAAGAATCATTGGAAGAATTGAAACCACACATATTGAAGTCATGCTGGAAAAAACTATGGCTTGCTCTGACTACGGGAAATCACGAAGAATCCGTGCAAGTTGAAACTTTGACTGCAAACATAGCCGAAATTGCAAATGGAATAGGACAAGATGGGTTTGAGCAGATAGAATCAAGTGACATTCAGGAATTGCTTGAATCGCAAGATGAAGATTTGACTGAAACCGACTTGGGAGAAATGTTAAATTCACAGCCCATTGAAGAAGAGGCTTCAACTAGCACTAAAAATGTGACATTTACTCTGAAAAATCTTAGTGAAGGTTTAAGAATGGCAAATGAGCTTTGCGATTTCTTTATGAACATTGATCCATCTATGGAACGAAGTCTTAATTTTAAGAACATATACCCCGCGAATAAGGAGATTTTACTGTACAGTGAATTTTACTTTCTTTACTCGAAATAGGTAATACATTTCGTCTAACGTTTACGGATAAGTTGTTCTTCACACATAGATAGGACTTGAAGCTTGCTTAACTATTCAATAACTTAAATATTTCTTTACAGTCGGTATTTTGCAGCCCGAAGGATCGGGTATTTGTCACCGGTGCACAAGCCGCGGAAGTCATCCATTGAGAGGTCGACAATGGAAACACCGCCCAAGTTCTTTGACCTGTAAATAAATGTTTTCCTTAGTACAACTGATTTTACACGAAATATATAAGGTGTTCCTAGCATGGCATGTTTTGAATCTGAAACACCTGTCGCTGCTTCGAATCCTTCTTTTACAGAAATTTTCTGTACTAAATTTATATTAAATTTCAAACTATCTAATTTTGTAGCTTAGATGGTTTTCTTATGATATTTACTTTAACCACGGAAGTGATCTATGATAACATATTGAAAAATCCATTGATGGACGGAGTTTGAACGTATCTCGGGGATGATAGTCGCACGCCTAACTGTTAGGCGAAACACTTCAATGAACACATGAATTTTCTACCATCATTAAAAAAGTACATACTTAACGTAGCTGGCCTTCTGTCCAGCTGTGTCTGGGTCTTCGTAGCTCACCCACAAACCTGGATCACCGTTGTCGTCAGGAAGACGGAAAGCGTAAGTTCCTTTAAAAAAATCGAGACAGTTGTAGATTCCTTATATATAGTTGCAAGAATATACCGTAATAGTGAAATAGATTCATAAATCTACAAGCTTCAAGTAATGCTTTGCTATGGGGTCATGAAGGTATTTAACTGTTTTAGTAAATTGTTTCCCAAAACTTTATAAAAGTTGTATCAGAAAAATTTCTATGTTTTAAAATTTCGTCGTATTTATGTATCTTTTGTGCGAGGCTGGAAGTGAATTGAGATAATATTGTATGGAATAATTAAAAAGGTTAGAAGTCTAGCGTAATGAATAATAATAATGAATAAGCGTTGACATATTCATCGTTATATATGTTATGGTATTTAGTATTAGCCTGGAAATTGAATAAAAATGGTTAAGATCCGCTAATGCAAAGCATTTTTCAGTACATTTAAACAAGAAAATAAGCTAGGTACCAACCAAAGAAATCGCCACCCTTGGTTAATCCCTTGTCTGAAAATGAATGAACAATTCCCTAGTGAGTAGCCAGTCCCTAGAAATGTGTGAACTGAAAAAACTATGCATAATACTTCCCTATGAAACGTACCTACTGGCAGCTTTTCCTCAATTCAATCCATTAAAAAATATTTTCTTATGAATGAATTTAATAGTTATTTAATTATATCAACCATAGTCGGATCCATGCATAATATGATCTTATATACTAATGACGAAAAGGTGATATATATATATTATATATTTTCTTTTTTAAAGCCAATTAGCCAACTTTTTATCTCGTGGCAATTACGACTGCTCTAATAAACCCAGAACTTACCGAAACGTTTGCTTGGATCCGTGACCTTCCTTAAATGAGGTCTCATCCCCTTTTGGTGGTTGGGATTTATCAACTTAGCGCACACTTCAGGATAGCTGAGAAGACCTTCAGTTTTTGTGTAAGGACCTGAAATAATTACACCGCAGTTAATATCCATCAAGGTAGTCAGATTTGACATTTTAGTTATTACTACCAAATAGTTATACTATTTAATTTTGTTAAAACTCCTAGAACCGAGGTCAATATGCGTGTTGTTCCCACGAGAATGTAAGTGCGTGCTCCTATTTCACCATGCCTCCTGCTGATAGAGGACAAGGCTTTGTTTTTAATTTACTTTATTATTTATAATTACTTAAGATGTCATGTGGAACATGGTGTAATGGTTGCAGCTCCTTAATAACGTTGTGTAAAAAAAACATGGCGATTAAAAAGAGTGGCGGAGAGTTTATTGCCAGTTCTTCTCTTCCGTTCCATGCCCTTGATTTCAGAACTGGCACTAAATGTAAAGTTAGAAGCATTTCCTATACATTTCTTTTTGACGTTCATAAGTGTACATTGTGTTACCTATATGATTAACAGATTTTTGACTTTTGACTTTTGAGGCTCGCGACCGTAAATGTTAATATAATATTACCTGCTTCTCCGGGGCCGTCGGTGTGAAGCGGTGGCACGCCACTTATCTCACTGTCGGAGTCGAGTTTCCATGTTCGGGCATAGGTGGCGATTCCTATGACGATCTTGGAACTGGGCGCACCGGCTGTTAACCTAAAAAATAAAGCTGGGGTTTAGTCTACCCATCTTGGATGAATTGAATAAAAGAAAATATAGAGAAGCGCATTCTGCATGGTATACGATTAACAATCTAGAATTGTAGCTATTTTATTCAGTATCTTACGAAACAAAACACAACACAAATAGTATATCCTGAAGATGTGCGTATGGTTACATTTGCAGTTAAACACTGCAGCGTGACATTAACACAAATTTTAAAGGTAAACATATCAGTAGACATTTTGTCATATACCAGTAGGAAATGGCAGCGTCCACATTGAGGAGGTCATTACGGTTTTGAGGCTTGTATGTAGGTGCGCTGTAGTCAGCTTCTTTAGGATTTCTAGCTGCTGTGTAGTAATCAAAAGCGTGTAGATTTACAATATCTACCAAGTTAATGATGGCGGGGACATCATAGTAAACTGTAACAAGAGAAATATATAATAAATATAGTATAAAATAATTTAACATTCTTACGAAATTGACCACTCTTGTTAGATGACAGTTTGATGTTTTAATTAATTAGGATTCCGATGATTACCCGCAATCGAGTACGCAACTATGCGCAAACGTACAAAACAAGTACGGGGCCAGTGTTCATAGGTTTTTCTTTTGTTAATTTGCATTAACATAAAATTCAAAGAACTTCTTATAAAATATCAAAAAATAATCTTTAAACAGGTTTCACTTATACTTAATACTCACTTGTAGAATTGACATTAGGTAGCACAGAGATTGATAGCTGCATTTGCTTGAGACTCATAGCTTGTTTCATTTCTCTTACTAAAGCAGTGTAACCTTCGCGGTGTTCTGCCTCTTTCTCATCCACGAGAGTGGTGCCGAAGGTTTTTTTGATGCCGTGCCAAATGGAACCTATTAAAAAATATACATTTGTAAAGCGTCCTTAACCGAAAATAATTATTTTTCAATAGTTTTCTAATGCCTCTATTGGTTACGGGAATTTCTAGACAGAGGGCAGAGATATAAAACAGAAGAACAAACGGCACGTTTCTTAAGGCTTGGAAGTTAAAAATTTACTTTTAAAATAACTAGTCTAGTATTACGCCTAAAGAAACCTAAACCGTTAATAAACTTAGTGTAGTAAATATAAGTGCAAGTTCTGTGTCTCGGACACAAAAATATAGTGTCAAAACATTATATAACACAAGACTGTTAATGAACATTACCTTAGTTTACGCTATTCACTAGTTTTGTAGAAAATTAAGTCAACATAACTTATTAGCCATAATTATTGTATATGCTAGATTGTATTTCATGTAAAGTCGCACTCTTTTATTGTGAATTGTAAGAAATAAAATATTTAATAGTGCCAAAATCCATCTATCGACGACGGGACCTACGCACAGATTAATCACGTTCTGGCCTATATACATTTTGAGATTGTAAGATATTTGAGTTAATGTAACTTATTTTGATTAAATACATACCCCATGTAGATCTAACTTTCTTCGGCTTGATACGGGCGAATTGCCAGGCAAGATCGATACCATCGAAGCCGTGTTGTTCAGCTAACAACATACCCGAGTTGACAAAAGCAGTTCTTGCTTGTGGCGATTCCAACTAAAATAATTGTACATTATATTAGGGGCACGGGAAAATCTTTTGAATTAATGAGGATCATTGTGGCTTAGTATAAAGTTAACGATTATCTAGTTGATAAAAGGGGGGACTAGGGCTAGACAGGCTACTTCTAACAAATTTGCGATATTTGTTATAAAATAAGTGTTGTTTTATGATTTGCTATTGTAAAAGAGTACCGAGAGTTTTTTACGCCGGCTTTTTCTCTCGGCCTACACCCTCTGTCTTCTTTGCCGATGAGTAGGGATGCCTACCTATTCAAATTTAATGACGTGGAATAAGTGATACCTGTATCTTATATTCCATTATAAACATTTTTTTTTATGGTGGAGTGTTTGCTGACTCTTACAAGCATTTTTTAGAAAATACTTGATAAGAGTAGTGGAGAGGTCCTTGCCAGTTCTCGGCTGTTCTGTGCTCTTAAATATTGGAATGGCAGTAATGTAAATTTTTATTGTAATATAGGTACTAAAAAATATAAGCGAACAAAAGTTACCTTCATGAATAAATTATTTTTGCTTTGAATAAGTATTTAAAGTTTCTGTAATTTCAATGTCAAGAAGGATCACTTGTATCTATTTACTATTTGCTTATCGGCTATCGTAATATATAAATACTAATTACCAGAAGATTGTATTTCTGCTCCTCTTCCAGATCAGCATCCCCTCCAACTGAGAGGAGAACTTTGAGTCCGGGGTATTTGCTTTTGAAGTTCGTGATAGCGCGATAGTTCGCATGGGAGCGGTCTACATCCAGATTTTCGTTCAGTGGCACCATCTTGTAAGTGTCAGGCTGGATTCCGGCATATCCATACACAAGGTGTGTGCAGAAGGACAGCGCTGGATCCAGGTCCAATGGCAGCATACGTGCTTGAGCTGGATAAATGCATCCTTCAACTATAATTTCAATGTAAACCTACTTCGTGGAAGCTCCTTAAATTACTTTTTATCATTGCGTATTTCTATTACTCTTTCTATATTTATCAAACTTAATTCATCATCAGCACACTCCACATACACACCCTCACGTACATACTCTCACTTTCACACCATCACACAACACAGCCGAATTAATTTAATATTTTTTGTTGTTTTTTCTTTTTGTAAATGTAACCTTTTTGTATGTGTGTATTCCATCTTTGGCTATATTTATCGATTAAATTTAATTATTTCGTATGATTACGGAATAATTAAATATTAATATATGAACTCGGCTTAAAGAACAGCTTAAACAGGATTATTCTTTTTAAAAACAGTAAATGAATCTGCATGTAGCTAAAATTCATTTTGACAGTTTTCGTCAGAACCCTGAACTCCTAGTACCCACATAAGACATATAGTCTTAACTACAGCCGAGCGCCTGATGTAATAAGTTTAAAGATATAAACACTAAAATTACATTATGTTGTTAGTTTCTAAAGTTTATCGTTCACAAGGAGAATAAATACGCCGATCTGATTATTTCCATTGAATTCATAAACAATGACGCAGCTAACAAAGGCATATTATGCTTAGATTATAAGCCTTAAGAGCAACATTTTGCACACATTGAAATGAACAGTACAATAATATCGGAGGCCAAGGCTGTACAATGAGCACGGTGATATAGATGCTTATATGAACGTAGGTGTCACAACCCAATATAAAAGATGGCTGATGACGTAATTGCCAAAGGACCTAAGTGACGCTTTCCTTTTTAAGGCAACAGACGATTATGTCATCGACCATAAGGACATACTTAAAAATATTAAATTGGTAGAATATGTTTACACTAATATTGAGATTGTTTGTGCTGTGATTACTGGAATTGTTTACCCTTGTTATCCGCTTTGACATTCGGGTCAATATATTATTTACCAATTAAGTTTATCTTGTTAATTGTCAACTTGGAAATCTAAAAAGGTCTAGGTCAGCGTAAATATAAGCTTCCATATAAGGTCAATAAGTTTAAAATCACAACGAGTGAGCGCGTAAAATGAATTATAGTTTAGTAGTTATAAAATCTCGGAAGGTGATATTAAGAAATACCTACTTCATAGGATAAATATACATTTAAAATCTATTCACAGTTTGGGAAAGTGTTCGTTCACTAACGTAAATATTATACAAACTTAACTGGAAATGTTGCCATAATGTGCTTTAAAACAATCTCTAAAATCAAAAATTAAATGTGTGGAGATGTTTTTGTTCTATGAGTCAAGATCTCGCAATATCACCTGATATCTGCTAAGTGTTAAACTACATAATTATAGCGCTTATAGCCGACACTAACTAGACAATAGAATTCTAGACTATTTAAATACATAAGTAAACGTAAATTCTATAACACTTCGAAGCGGTTTCAAGAGATGTCCATTTTATCAATGTAACCAGTACAATTTATAATTTTCTATAAAATATTTAATGATTGTTCTAGATTCGGCATACTGGCATTCGACAAAATAATAATAATAATCGTAAATTCAAACAGCTCCAACGTTTAAATTAAATACAATTACATTTTTAAATATTTAAATAATAAAATTTGGCACCAAAGTTGAAAATGGCGGATAAGTTTTAATGAAATTGTGAACGCTTTTACTACTAGGATTCGAATTGAGCCAAATACGGCTCGATTCAATCATGTCTATATAAACATTAGAAACCAGTAGAACCTGTCCAAAAATCACAATTTATCCAAGGTTGAAGATCGAGGACCATTACGAACGTTTGACCCTGACCCTCAGCCTAGGTTAAAGCAATCATATGCCAAATCAAAATAAATAATAGCCATTCTAAATCCTTTGATAGTAGTTTAAGTAGTTTCTAGAAGCTTATATTTTTTAAATATATGCGAATCGTTGAAAATATTTTATGAAGTAATAATTCAACGATAGTGGATTATGCATTAGCATAAACAGAACAAAGAAGAAAGAAATCTTTAACAAAATCAAAAATTGTGAAGTAACTACTAAAACCGTTAATATTAATTTAATGGCTTCGACCTACAATCTTTTAGTGCTATTTAACAACTGTATTCAAGAATACTAACTAAGCCGAGAAAGCACTGTTTCATAAAAGCGCGAAGCGAATCTCTAGAAATCATAAATATTAAAAAAATCTACTCACATTCTCGTACATAGCTCTTGCTGTCATAGTAGCAGACCACCTTGGATTGGGCAGGAGTCGGCGTGGAGACAGCAAGGGCCAAGACCCCGGCCAACGTTAGTATAATCTTCATCTTATGATTGCGTCAGGTCTGCTCGCTTCGGCTGCTCGTGTGAAAATGATTTCAAATCCGACTTGCACATTAAATTGGATGCGCTTCACACATACATACTAGAGAGCACATCACACATACACAAAAGGGTCAAAGATTAATTTACGGACAGATAAGTTTGTTAGAAGTTATCTTCTTTCTCAGTATTGGTACCGATCAAACTAGAGACTAATATTTTAATAAGTAAACAATGTTATTATTACAATTGATGTCATTAAACGGAATAATTAGATAAACATTTTAATAACTTTTAACAACTTTTTTGTTTTTAGTAAATTAATAATTTCTATCATGTTTGTTAGTTATATGCAAATAGATTTTAGAGAAAGTAATTTTAATTAAATTTATAGTAGATTCTACTGATACGTGTTACATATTTAAATAACCCAATTTGTTAATAACAAATTTTAATGTTCAAATCCAATACAATAAAATTACCTACCTTACCATTTTTTTTAATATTTGCTACACCTACTCCACGATTTATCAGCGCTTGCTAAAATTGCATCTACAAATCTCATAATCTATGACAAAATGTTCTAAGCATGTCTTCTCGAATGTCCGTATGAATAAAAAAAATTCAAACTACCCACATTTTACGAAAATATTAAAACTATTATAATACTATATAATGCATAATTAGACTAATTTATAGCAACAACAGACGAACTTTATCATAAAATAAACACGCTATCTCAAATAATTTATCGAAATAACTCAATTTAATTAGGTACCTTCATTTAGTAAAATGAAGCAAAAATTGAATTTAATTAAAATAATAGTTATATACTTTACGTATGAACAATATGTTTTACATTAAGAATACATGGAATTCGTAAAGTACATTTTTCAAATCAACTTAATCTATATTGGAAAAAGTCGAGTTCTATAATGCATAATTAAAAGTACATAGTCTTAGTATTCAACCATATTTGCTACTACTGTCACCCACGAGCCTGATCCTATAGAAATATATCCCAATAGTGCACGTATAACATCGTGATTTACTTAATGTTTATTTGACATAACCTCAAAATATTTGCAATGCAATAAGACTAAGGATTCTGGTTTTGGTGGTTTGTGAAAACCCAGACAAAAATATATATAAATTATATGAATAATAATAAGTGACTAAAATCATGCTTGGCCCCCATAGGCATGCCTAAGGTGACTTTTAGTCCTACCAAAAATGCACTTTATTTGATAAATATTTGGTCGAAATAACTATTAGATTTTACTAAACAATACATGGGTATGATTTATACATTTCTTTGTTCTTTCATTTTTTGTATCCATCTAATCATCCAGGGAATACATACAGAATAAACCTATCTAACACATGCAACAAAATTAGTGCATCATTTCTTTACACAGGAGGAAATACTGGATCACAGTTGACACATACTCATAATACAGTTTGATTACCTGTTTCCTGTTTTACCTTGTAATTTATATTTTTGTGTGTAATTTGTATTTGTTTATAATCTATGTATGAGTTAGTTTATATTTTTAAATCTAACACTTTAAATGGATATAGTAAGCTATCATTAATATCTAATGTTACAGATATTTCTAAATATATAAGCTATAGATTGTTTCTATACAAGTAAGAGTGCAGTCAGTTTTAATTGTTTTTTCTTTGCTAAGATCAGCCTACGTTCCTAATGTAATAGGCGAAAAGAGGTTTAAAACAGTTAAGTAGTTTTCAGTTTAGAAGCAAACATAATGTGTTTTACTTATTTAATTTACACATGTAGTGTGTTTTTAACACATTTAACTGAAAATTGTTAGTTATCAAGCTTTTTATAGTCTTTGTAACACATACTATTACAATCAAATTTTCTAAATAGTATGCATAATATTTTGACTTTCTCAAAGTCTCTTTGAAGTTTTTAGGTAATGTCATAAATGTAATTCTGATAAAACAAAAACGATATTTCTGTGGTTCTTATGTAGATTTATGTTTTTGAAGTTATACTTCTTTAGGCGCGTTATGAAAAATTTATGAGAGTGAAATTTTACGATGCGCGCGCACCGTGACACAAAATTAGGAGAGTGATTATAGCGTGCGCGAGCGAGATAGGAATAAGACAATCTACAAGTAAAAAGAAATAGAATATGCGTGAAGTTCGTATGCCAAGAATTTTGAATGACCATAATGACATTTGTCATTTACCTTTTAAACAAATAAAGGAGTTTTAATTATTTTTTCAAAGAAATTTAGCAATGCTTTTTGAATTATATATAATCAGAAGTGATTTAAATTGAATATTTAAACCAATACTAATTAATATTTGTGAAAAAACTGTGCTCATCAACCTTCCTAAGTGCTTCATTACAATTGAGGTTAACTATCAGTTTGTATTATTATTATCGAGTAATGTTTTGATTAAAAAAATTACCACATTGTTTAATCAAAACATGTAATTTTTCTCTAGCAAATATAAGGACAAGAGACAAAAAACAATTGATGAATCAGTGTAAGTGCACTAAATTGAATACAAAAAAAGAGTTGTCATCTTATCGCTGTGAAACATCAAAAACTGGAGGTGGAACAAAGCCAAACTATTTTTAATAATGCCAAAGAAGTATAACTTCTTACGCGCGTACATAAGTACACGCACCCTTTTTTTTTTAAATCATAAGATACTCTAAAGCTTGCTGAGGTAAACCATAATTTTAATGAATTATGATTTTATAGTAGTCAATGAAACAGACAGAAATGTGTCTGAGACTGGGCAAGGTACTTCATACATAATGTGACCGTGGTTTATCCCGTTTAGCGTTCGCGAAAAAGTTGAAGAAAATTCAATCTTGTCACATTGTTTTAAAACTCAATTCTGAATGGCAGTATTTACAAAATATGCGAGTAAATAAAAGCTTAAATAGCTCAGGAATAGAATTTTATATCTACTATTTAAATAATAGATACAATTTTTTTCCGAAATATCTATAGTTTATGACTATAATAGATACAGCGTTAAAAATTAAATCGTCTGTAAAATTATTGTAGTTACTAAACTATTTTCCTGTTATTTAATCTGCAATATCTAACGTTGACTTACATCATTGTTATATTCGGTTAATCAGTACAAGCGTGAAGTAATAACAATCCAATTCATTAGGACCTAGTTATTTTTTTTTTATTTTTTTTATTGGACAATTCACACCAATTGACCTAGACCCATGGTAAGCTGGTGAAGCTTGTGTTATGGGTACTAGGCAACGGATATACATACATATTATACATAGATAGATCTAACACATATAAATTTAAACACCCAAGACCTAAGCACAACACCAAATGCTCATCACATCGATGCTTGTCTCAGCCGGGGATCGAACCCGGGACCCATGGATTCGCAGTCAGGGCTACTACCACTAGACCAATGAGCCGTCTATATACACATGCCGATACAGGTATGTATAGTATGTACTTTATCACAATTTAGCAAAACAGTCTACCTATTGAAGCATGCAATCGTGGCAAACCCATTATTCTCTTTGAAATCCCCTTTTAATTTAATTATCAATTTGGTTCTGATGTCTTGCTAGTGGCCTTGACAATTTAATAGGATCTTTTCAAAATACTGGCGAATTAAAGTTGCGTTTACAATATCCGCAAACCGATATTCACATAAAGCCATGCCAAATACGACTGTATAATTAAATTGCTAAACGTACGGCCCTCCACGAACGAAAAGAACGGGTAAAAACCTGCCACGCTCATTAATGGCAACAATGTTTTTTACTTGTAATCAAGCTCCATCCACCATCAGAGGCTTCTACACTATGAAATTGTCGAGGCCGATTAGCATCTGGACATCACAGTACTACGAAACCTTAAAAACCAACCCCGAGATTCAAACTCGAAACGTATTAGCATCCAGTCTTATTATATACGGAACATAGAGACATAGAACCCTTAGAACGGACGTCACCAGTATCAAAACCTCCGTTTTGTTTAATAATTAATTATTTTTATTGCTTAATAATTTGTTTACATGTTTTATTTACCTCACAGATTTCCCTTGCAGTATACCTACAATTCAATATTTTCCCATTCTTCGCGCCTACTTCTAGAAGTCTTCTAGACTAGCGTAGTTCAGTAAGTGCAGACTATTTACCTGCATACTGATGGCATTAACTTTATTAGACAGCCTTTAAATTACCAAAATTCATATTATAAAAGACGTATTGGGAAACCGTACTTTACACAAATCAGCGTAAGGGCGTAAGTCAGGAATAAATATAAGATAAGCGTTTGTTATTGTAACGCGATAATTTGTAAGACACACAGCTAACATGTAACCTTGTTATCAGGTTATACTGAGAATATAAAGCAGTGACTCAGCTGGTGTACGGTTATTTCCTCCATACATTATTGTTAAATTTATATTTTCTCTAAAAGAGCAAGCTCCATTTTTATTAGTAATGTAAATACAGATGTAGGTGATTGATTAACGTGTCGTAATGAAACAGTGATGTGCTCTGACAATAACACATCAGAATAGATACGGTCGTGTGTTCTGAAAAGAACAGTTTCATCGTGTCGTAGGACACGGTAATATGTCCTGACAAGGACAGTTGTTAAACGTTTTGTCGTGAAACAAGAATAATATGTCCTGAAAAGGACAGTTGTAGACGTTTAGTCGTGATACGATAATTTGTCCTGAAAAGGACAGTTATTAGCGTTATCGCAAGGTTACGATATCGAAGTGTTCTGAGAAGAACACGTTCGTACGCTTAGATGGCTGCGTGCAGAAAAAGGCCAACTTTTTTGCCGCGCCGCATTTTTATTGCCTACTCTGGTACCTGCGCAACCAATCAACGCTCCGCATCTTGGTACCACATGTCAATATTAGTTGTAAGTGTAGGATAATTTTTAAGTATAATTGTACACAGTTTTGTAAATAAATATCATTCATTATTCCATCTTCACCTCTTCTCTACAAGTAATTAGGGAGTTTTATTTTAACATCGACCAAATAATTCTGAAGCAATCAACCCTCAAGCAACATCCCTAAAGTGGTGACCCCGTGAAGAACAACCCCGTGAAGAACAACCCCGAGAAGAACAACCCCGAGAAGAACACCAAGAACATTGAAGATGTCGACAACAGAAAATTCCGGTGCAGAGCGTCAAACTTCATCAACACCGTCGAGCCAAGAAGTCTCCGGTATTTCACTGTCGCTCCGCGTGCCACCATTCTGGCGTGACCAGCCGCTCCTCTGGTTCTGCAGTTTCGAAGCAGCAACCGCCGATCTAAAACGAAGCCAGGCCCAGCTCGCCCAGATGGTCATCGCACAGCTTGAAAAGCAAGACATTCAAAACATCGCTGACCTCATTTGCTCGCCGCCGGAAGCAGATTACTACAACGCAATTAAAGACCGTTTAATATCGCTATACGAAGAGTCTAACAGCGCACAAACGAAGAAGCTACTGTCGCAAGTCGAGCTCGGAGACCAGAAACCCAGCCAGCTGATGAGGCAAATGAAGCAGCTTAACAAGGATAAATTTCCCGAAAGCACCATCAAAATGATGTGGCTCGAGCATCTGCCGCCACAGATTCGCTCCGTGCTAGCTGTCAGCGAAGCGTTTAAAATCAAAACGACGCTCGACGACCTTACCTAGCAACATCCCTAAACAGAGAAGCCGCTTATAACGATCGAGGAACAGTTACCTACAGAAATCAAAGGCTTCGTATGTCAACATCCAATACATATGTGACGTAAGAGAGTCAGACTTAGCCCTAAATCCCTTATTTGAATAAAAAAGACCAAGAGGGTAGAAGCGTTCTTTTGATTCATGCTCTGAATGTTATATATAGTGAACGACCGTTTTTAGATTGTGCTTGCCTGTATTATGTACTATCTGTCCGAGTAGGTAAATAAGACTGTACGGCACATATTATGTATTATTTCAAATCAAATAAACGCTCTGTTAAAGTATTTTCTATCTATAAAACCTACTTCTTTTGTGTAGAAATGGTATCCCTAATCCATAAAAAATAATACTCTAATTGCACGTTTTTAACTAAACTAATATTTTGTCTCTTTTTACCACAGCGTAAACACAAATTGGCAGAAACGAAATAGTATCAATTAATTTCAATGGGGAAAATGTATGTCGAGGTAGGAAATACTGTATATTTTTTAATAGGTTGACGATTTCTATTGAACTAAATAATCGGTTACAGTTTTTATATAATCATAGAAACCGCAAGACTTTTGTTGACTATATGTATTATATATTCGTATAGCTATCAATATCTCGTGTCACTTAGCACGATACACGGGGCACCCCATTTGTGCATCCAGCTATCTGAAACAACTTTTCCACTAATACGTCAGAATCATATAATCGGTCACATAACTACCATTGAAAAAATTCAAATATCGTAAAATAATATACAAATAGCAAATTTAAAATAGATGTTTGTGTAACATCTATGTTCTCATTTTATTAGAATCAAATAAAACAAATAATTTCGATGAACGCTTTAATTAACCTAATTCTAACAATCTCCGTCAATTTATTTATGATAAATTTAAAATACACAATTTTAAGTGCTTATTTGGCACTACGGAACATTGAATACTATACTATAGTAATGTAAATAGAATTAATTTTATTATAAAAACATTCAATAATTTATAGCCTTCATCGCGAATCTTTGAATCGTGATGATGTGTAGTTGATGGCAGTCCTAAAAACATTTGTTGCTTAGCTAAAAATTTAAGATGACACAGTAGTTTTATTACTTAAAAATCATATTTTTCCAAAAGCGCCATCTAAACCTTAAATAGGTTCTTCAAATATATCCATAGATTATAGTTGCAAGGCAATTTTGGCACTTGACAGTGCGTTAATTTGCGTGGGATAGTCAGCGCAATAATTAATCTATTGTCTATGGAAACAGTAAGACATCTTTTCACTTGGTACATTGTCAAAGTCAAGTTTAATAGTGATAGTGTGTTTTGCATACTATAGTATACTGCTATAGATAAAAAAATATAAAAATCATTAATTCCGAAAACATTTAAAATTTTAAAATACAACATTCTAATATTGTAATCTACATATTAATGTTTAATTTGTGATACTTGATGTCGAATTCTATCTACAGATTAAATATAAAAATGAAGTGAATTCAATCAATCATGTTAAAAAAAATATACTTCTAGTGGTTTCCAGATGAGACTTGAGCTTGACCTTGTGGAACTTGGGCTTGTCCCTGTGGTTGGGATTGCCCTTGAGTCATTTGAGCTTGGGGTATCTGTCCCTGAGGAATCTGCCCTTGTGGTGGCGCCTGTCCTTGTGTCATTTGTCCTTGAGGGGGCACCTGTCCTTGTGGAGGCATTTGGGGTGGCATCTGTCCCTGGTTTGGCATCTGTCCTTGGTTTGGTAACTGTCCTTGGGGTGGCACCTGTCCTTGTGTAATTTGTCCTTGATTTGGCATCTGTCCCTGAGCTGGTATCTGTCCCTGAGCTGGTATCTGTCCCTGGGGTGGCATCTGTCCCTGTGGCGGCATGTGACCCTGAGGTGGCATCTGTCCTTGAGGTGGCATCTGTCCTTGATTTGGCATTTGTGCCTGAGGTGGCATCTGTCCTTGATTTGGCATCTGTCCCTGAGGCGGCATATGACCCTGAGGTGACATCTGTCCTTGAGGTGGCATATAACCTTGTGGTGGCATCTGTCCTTGAGGCGGCATCTGTCCTTGAGGTGGCATGTAACCCTGTGGTGGCATCTGTCCCTGAGGCGGCATCTGTCCTGGATAATGTTGGTTACCTTGGTAATGTTGATTTTGTTGATACGCCTGTTGTTGTTGATGATACGCCTGTTGCTGTTGTTGATACACCTGTTGCTGGTATTGATGTAATTGGTGTTCTGCACCCGGAACTGGACGACCGTGGGCGTCAACCTGTGTTATGTTTTTAAATTAACTGAATTTAGGGCTTTTAGACTACGAGATAAGTTATCAATAATTTAAAAATGAAAACAATAACCAACAGTCAGCAAGTAGATTATAAGTTTACACATGACAATGTTTTTCATTTATAACGAACAGAAGTATCTCAATGACCAAAGCACTGAATTTTAGTAAGAGTAAGTAAGATTGTCACTACTAGTATTTTTATAACAAAGCGTCAGTGTCACAATTATGGTGTAATCAAGAAATCTTGAATTATTTGTACCAAGACAATCCATAAAATCCAACCCAATATATATAATTACCAGGCCACGTTGCTGAAGATAATGTAACTCCTCCAAACGCCTGCGTTCATATTCAGTATACTCTTGTTGTGTATAAATTTGATTCTCATCAATGGATTTCCAGCCTAAAATGTTTCCCTTACATTAAAACATGTATAGGACAACACATTACCGGATTATATCTACAACTATCATCGACGTTATATTGTAAAAATAACTACACGGTACACTGTATATTATAACAGACTAACGAAAATATGGTTTTAGGCAGTGTTTCCCAACGGGGAATGTGATTCGTTAACAATTTCCTAGTGCTTTCTTCCTGAAACCTATCAGTTAAGTTTCTCAAGTCACTATAATTTAAGATTAAAAATTACGTTACACATTATACACATTATAAGAATTTTAGAAAAAAAAGTTTGGGTAAAACTGCTTTAAGGGCAAATAATTTTAAAAAAATATTTTCAATACGTTAAATGAATTAAAAGATTATATAAATTACAATATAATGAATAATTTTTCCTATTGAATTAATGACATTTATTTATATTGGGTTTTATTTCTATAATAATTAATATATCGTATTTAGACCCGGGGATATTTAACTCACCGTCATCTTGGTTAAACTCAGCGCGTTGGGTCTCAGTCATAAATTCGTGGAAGTCAATCAAACCGTCGTGATTTTTGTCATTTTCTTTAAACACATGTTCCCTCATCCTTTCCATTTCCTCGGCTCTCTCATGCAAATCCTTGTTGGGACCTCCAGGTCCATACAATTTGTCTAACTCCTTGATAAATAAAGCTTTTACCTCGTCCGCGTCCCATACGCCATTACCGTCAACATCTAGAGTTAAAATTAGCTTTTTTGACAATTGACATCCTACATAATTAGATAGAACACAGAGAGAAATATGAACCCGAACGAGGAGGTATACGATTGGACGGGCGGTTGTATGAGTTTTCAATTACATAAATTGAAAGAATAAGCCAAGTTTAAATAAAATTTGCATGTAATGGGTTCTTGCTTGCTCTTCACTTCCCCAAAATAATTAATAATTCCAACCGCCTCCTGTTTGATTTAGTAATTCAGTGCCTTTGAGCTTTAAGTCGATCTCTGATTCCGATTGTTTTAGGTTCTTCTGTAAAGAAATATGCCCTATGGGTGGGCACGCATGCTTTTTCAACAGACACGCATGCATTACTAGACATCAAACCTTTTCTACATTCCATAATAACAATTATGGATTTTTAATTGGCTTGTTAACCACACAAAACGTTAAATTTTAAAATTCGAGCGATATAATTATTGTTTCTCAATACACGTACTATTATACTAGTACTATACTAATTATTAAAAGGATATAAACGTGAATTAATTACATACATCAATACCACGAAAGTGTACCAATACATTTTTCTATGGGCGCATTTAACCCTCACTCGTTCAAACAAAATAAATGAAGGCCAACATCATAAATGTCTTAGACTCAAATCGATGGCCATGCACATGGCTGATCACCTACTTGCCTATTAGAGAATATATCACGAAACAGATACAGAAATTTGAGGCCCAGACTTAAATACATCTATAGCAATCTTTTGTAAATAAAGTTTTAGTTTTTCACCAGTTAAAGTTGCGTTAAATTGTTTTGATTAAACGCTTAAGGGGGCGTCCATAAATTACGTGAGGTGTTTAAGGGGGGGAGGGGGTCGAGTCAAATCTCATTTAATCTTACGTTGGAGAGAGGGGGGGTCTCGGCAAATATCACGCAATTTTTTTTCTGATTGAAAAAAAAAAATTAGGAAAACGGTTGACCCTAAAGGCCATCTCTGCAACTTCCCGCTAACTCCATACCTAAACGCTCACTTATTTTGTTTTAGTCGTAAATAAAAGCACGAAGCAATTTTTTTTTCTTTTTACAACAACAATCCAACGCGTAGACGACGAATTACGTAAGAAACCCACATTTTGAAAAATCTCACGTGAGATTGGGGATTGGGGTTGAATAAAATCTCACCAGGGGGGGAGGGAGTCACAGAAAATTAAAAAAAAAAACACCTCACGTAATTTATGGACGCCCCCTAATAGTGTAGTTTCCTTTAAAAACTACAAACTAATATATTTTATTTCACAAGTGAACTAAATATTTGATACTGAATATAAAACTACAAACAAAAAGCATACGAAGGGTAGATCAAACTACTAGTAGGTACTTTTAACCAAAAATTGGTAGGGATATTCCGAATACCGAAAAACTTTTCAAATTTGGTGACCTTCTAGAACTAGGGTCATTATAATTTAAATGCTTGTATTAAAATTTATGGGGTAATAATAACATGTGTTTTTTGCGAAAAATGTTTCGTATTGAAAGTACATGAGTGTAAACTCTTTGTAACTGTATTCTTCTCTCCCTATAACGAAACCTCTCTATTAAAACGAATCTACGAATAAATTGCTCGATCCCTTGAAATTCGTTATACACACATTCGTTGTTCACTGTAATTTTTTGTAATTTTTTAAAAGAAGTACATATACCTATAGAAATTTTAAATTTAAAAAGAAATATTAGTAATATGAAACGAAATTTAACAACCAATTAGGCAATAACATACAAATTTGAAAAGTTTCTCGGATTTCATAATTACATTTGAGAATGGAAACAAATCAAAACAAGCATTTTACATTCCAACTCTCTAAGAAAGATGGCAGCACACAAATCACTAACGTAAACAAAATAAAACTAACATGCCACACAATAGACCAAATGCGTGCAAATGATAACAAAAACTAACATGATTGTCAAAAAATTTGGTTATGCTTAATGTATCTTTATTTTTTAGTTGTATTTACATACAGGGTGTCCCATAAATCATGGCAATTAATGGCTAACTGCTTTGGTACTTAACAAAATAGTCCACATTTTATGTAATGCGAACACTGGATAGCGCTTTTTGTTCAATGCAGTAGCAAAACTATCCTCAAAATCACTATTTTAATTGAAATAATTAATAATAATAATAATATAGCCTTTACATTAATTATTATTATAATTTTCAAAATGCGTAACAATATTAATTTTGTTATCACAACTTTAATAATTTCCTGGGGTTAATAAACCTGCCTTATCACTAGATTCATGTTCACTGCAATATTTACGCTGTGATGGAAAGAGACTTTAGTTGCCATGCAATTAGAAAAGGATTTTGTATGAAGGAGGTTATACTTTTGAATACTAAAGAAACGCTAAGCATGAAATAGAACTATGATAATCCGCTATTAAATAAACAAACTTTAAAGTTAAGGTAAAGCTAAATTTAGATATATTTTTTTTAACGTTCATAAGTACTTGTTGACGTATTTGGACCTAATCAGGAATCTAATATATAATATAATGCATACTTTACAAAACAATGAAAATGTTTGTCTGTCATTTAGTTGTAACAATTTTTAAATGTTAGAACTTATAATTTTATTATTTTAAACTACGCAACGAACTCCTATTTCAAATGGAGTATATGTAGTGTATATATCTTGTCTAAAAGGATATATATACGATCATTCAAACTATATAAAAACATTAAGCATAACCGACACGCATCGGCTTACCATGCATCATGAAAAACACTTTGGGGTCGAAATCTTTGTCCATTTTTTCGTTTTTCCACAATTCTAACAATTGACCTCTCGTCACTGGATGGTGAAGCTGCCACAGACAACATATAATTAATAACTCACCGTGCATCATGAAGAATGCTTTAGGGTCAAATTGTTGGTCCATATGGTCTTGTTTCTCCCATACTTCCTCTAATTGCTGTTTGGATCCCGGATGGTGGATCTGTGTTTTGTCAATTTTTTTCATTTATTACAACGTAACGTGTATAATTGTATTATTGTTATAATGTTTAAGTGTGTTTTATATATTATAAGATATGTATGTGATTTTTTTTTTTTGTAAACCTACAGCTAACATAAATTATATATAATAACAAACAGTTACACAGAAAATATAGCCAAATATGGAATACATAATAATACATTTAACTACAAAAAGGTTCAAAAATTTATAAAAGGAAACAAACAAATAAAAACTATTCAATACGTTTATCTAAGTGGTACCTAATTTGGTTGTGTTGTATGATGGTGAAAAAGTGAGTGTAAGTACGTGAAGTTATAATTAAGTTTGTTATACCGTAATCCCACAGGATGGTCTTATTTCTCGTAGTTGTATTTTGAAATCTCTCAATGTTTGAAAATATCTACAAAATTATTATCAACGCATTTATTTAATCTGTGTTTGTATACAAATGTAATATATATACAAACACAGATTAAATATATATATAATTCTCTCAAACATTTAATAATCGTTATAGCTTTGTAAATAATTATATATAAATATTATTTTGAAATACCGTCACATCCTACATCAAATTTTGTAATTGTGTTTCTATCTAATAAGTCTTCTGTTTCTTGCCTACTTTTATACTTCTTTATTTTTTATTACTAGTATAAAACAGAATTAGTTTATAAGCTAATATAATGTATTACTATTAAGTATATTTTCTTGTAATATTCTTAAAGAGAAATAAATATCTAAAATCTTATAAAAATTATAAAGGACCTGGAACTAATGTAGGCTTATGTTACACACTGTTTATCGCATTATTTGAAGGGAGAAATCTTGCAATCACTTGTAAGGCGATAATACTTTATTGACATACACGTGCACGTTAGTTACAAATTGTAACAATCGCATTGAATTGAGTAATTTATGTCTAATGGCATTATAGAAGCTTTATGAATACTTTTTACGCATATACAATCGAAATTAACAAATTGCATTAGTAAAGAAAAATTTTTAAACTCGCAAATAACAATTATTTCAACCAATTTTCTAGAAAACGAATAATATTGCGTATTATGAAATCACCGCGTAAGCATGTTCAATTTAACACGCGATATACGAGGAAAATAACCATTTCGTAAGGACGATAATGGACACTTCATTCATATAGATTTAATTAAAAATCAAACTGCGTTTCGCAGAATTTTCAGCTAGAAGCCGTCAACGCTTTGACTATATTTCAGACAAAACTATTAAGTAAGATTGAATCATGATTGTTTTGCTGTGCCTACAACCAGTATTAGTAAAGTGAAACTTTTATTACATCGTCTCAAACTTTTTCGTCTGTGTGTTGCATGTCGCGTGACGGTCGGCCGCGGAGTAGGGATAAAGTGAAAGGCGCTCGTCATAGCAGCCAAGGCCAATATGGCGGCGCCTATAGTTCGTAGCAGCTGACCGTGTAGTCTATAGACTATTAAAAAATATATAAAGCGATTTTTATATCCTTGATGGAATATTATTCCAAAAAATTTTAGTTAAATGTCTATAATGTGAAAAAAAGTTCCACTTTTACCGTGGTTTCATAAAACCACACAATCCTTTACAAAATGTCTAAAACGTCTTTATTGTATTAAAATTTTGTTTTATAAATTATTAATTTATTTACCGACGATATGTAGTTCGTACATTAGAGTATAAGGAAATCAAATCAATAAATAAACAAATAAACTACGGAATTATAATAAAATACGGAATTTAATGAATTCCAAGAACTTTGAGATAACATACTGTATATAATATAATGTATGTATAATGTACGAATAACTGTATAATGTATAAGTGAGTGTATGCGTAATTTAATGAATCAGTATTGTTTAATACGTATGTTGTTATTAACCTTGGATTGTGATATTACTACGAATAAAATATCCTTTCCATCGTAACCATGGTAACGCCCAATTTTTACTCCACGTTTAGCACAATGCAATTACTTTCCATATTCTTACCGGTTTGTGGTGTTTCTTAGCATCTTCTTCAGTCTTTAGTTTATCCATATATTCTTTTTTTTGTGTTTCATCCATACCTTCCAATTTCTTATGTTTGTCAAATTCCTTTTGCATTTCATATTCCTGGAATGAATTACAAATTAATATAGGTACATATATTTCGTAATTTTTTGGCATATTAATAAGAATATTTATGAATACTGACAGCAACAGTCTTGATAAACACTTGGTAAGAATATACAAAGATCTTAAATTGGAGGACACATAGGTCTCCCTATTATATTAGACAATAGGACCGCTATGGTCCTCTAAAATTCATAGCTCACCTTCACATTGTGAAATTAAACCGTCAATTAAAATAATAAGAGAAAGTTGAAAAGAAAAAGTTGTTCTGATTCTTTACCTTAAATTGTTCCTTTCTCTGTTTGTCCGCCGCTTCTAAGTCCTCAGTTGTTTTCTTTATAAGTTTTTTGAGATCCTCAATTTCAAATGTTTGTGGATTGTGGTGATCTAAATGATCACTTGTCGGCACTTTCCCTTCGTGTTCAAGGTTATTAGTAATTTCAAATTGCTGTTGACAATATCATTCTTATTATTGTATTTCCCGTTATGAAGTGAAAGTAAAATTCCAAGACTTGACTTGTTGCGCTCATAGTCAAATAAGTAAAAAACACATAGCCTCGACACTTAATCTTACCTGTTTTATGCGTGCGATTGTCCATTCGAAGGTGATGTGCACACAGAGACACAGAAGGCTAACCACCTATTTGTCTTTTAAAAAAATATCAAGAAAACCGACGCAAAAACATTGCCCGTATGCATACAATTTTTATTTTGCTGTGACTAGTAGTTGTGGTATAACCAAGGGTTGTTTTTTTAAATTGAAAATTCAAATTTCTAAATGATTACTTACCTTAGTAGCTAAATGACGTAGTCGGTCCAACTCCCTCCGTTTAATTTCGTCTAGTTTGGTCCTAACATTATGATTGACAAAGTCAAGGTGTTCAGCAATTTTGCCAGTCTGAAAGTTATTTACATATTGTTTCAGATAAGTAAACAATTCAGAAGGAAATACAACTTAAACTTGAAATCGCTAAATGCAACGGCAGCCTGTCGCTAATACGCAATATGCAAGCAGAGCTTAATAACTTAATATTAATTTTATTCTTAATTTTGTTATGAACTGGTCAAGAATGTACACGCCTAGCAAAAATATATAAAAAAACAGAGCTGTTACTTCCAATAACGACCACGATCTCAATGATTTTTGTACAGCGCTCTCCAAAGGTTGCGATATCAGCGCATCGGATATTGAGCATACATCGAACTTGCTTACACTATTGGAAGTTGCAGAGGGGCACAGAATAGAAAATTTACAAGAAGCCTTTGAATACTGTGTTGATATAGTGGTTTGAGCGTTCGCCTCTCATCCCCGAGGTCGTAGGTCCGAGCCCTGGCTGTGCAGCAATGTAGTTTTCTGTCTATGTGCGTATTTAATACGCTCGAACGGTAACGGTAAAGTATCGTGAAACATGTCTTAGACCAAAAAGTAGTCGGCATGTGTCAGAAGTAGAAACTGATCCTATTTGACTTATTGAAAAAACCAATGACCACGAAACATATACAAAAATCGGAGTGAATATTACAGTAATAACTTTAGGGTACTGGATTAAGATTCTTCATTAAAATTAAGATCTAATAGTCCAGATAATTAAGGTGTATTGTAATAAATTAGTTATTTTGGCTTATTTTATCCTGTTAAAGTGGACCATAAATGAAAATCTATATAAAAAGATTTTGCTACAGCGATTATAAATTAAATAATATTTTGTTATATTTTATAAGCCTGTACAATAACTATAGCTGTAGCAATACTTTCGCGCTACTGCTTTGCTTGCCCTTCGCACATACATACTTTAATAAATTTTGGTTAAAATAAATGACACTTAATATGAATTGCACATAAGCAAAGATTATGTGACAACAAAATAACATTAGTTTGCATAGCAGTTTAACAGATACATATAGTATAAAGATAATGGATGGAAGGAAGATAACAACTTAATACAGCATTTGTCATCAATCTAAAAGAGATGAATTCTAAAACAATCAGCTCCAAATAAACAATTTTTAATACAACAAGGTTTAATAAATATAGGTGAATCTTAATATTTGGCAAAAATTCAATGCTAAAAACAATAATAAATACAAAATAAAATATTTATGTAAAAAGTTTATACTTGAGGCAAAATCATTTAAAAAAAAACAGTGCAAATAATGCTTTATCTTGTGAATACCATTTTAAGTTTAATAAGATTATTGTCGCCAGCGTCTTTCTTGAAGCTTTGTTCCCTATGATATTACTCATATTATTTCCATGTTAATATTTATTAGACATGATACACTTATTAGTTTAAATTGGCATAGTAATAAATACTTACCCTAACATCCTCTTCATCAGCTTTTTCTAGTCTTTCACGAAAGTCTGGATCACTTTCGAGGGCTTGGACCACTTCTTTGAGGTAACGATGATACTCCATATAATCTTCCTATGTACATAACAAAACATATAACAAAATTTACATGATATTATGTAACTTTTTATAAAGAACCTTTAACATGTCTTTGATTTTTAATAATTCATACATATATTTTAAAGCATTATATAGTTTACAATAGTGTTTCCTTATGAGTCATATTAAAATTTGGATTGATGCTTAACATAAAATATGCTAATGTACATTCGTACAAAACGAAAATTAGTTGTATCCCATCACGTTTTGAAAATTAAATGCTTAAAAACATGTCTTATCTATTAATCAAAAATTCAAAGACAAAGACAGCACCTATTTTAATGCCTCTATTTAGTCTTTCTATTTCACGTTATACTGTAATAGTAGAGGACCGTTTTGGCAAAGGAGGATTAAATCACATTATGCAATTGCATGTATGAATTATATTTCAATAAAATGAAAAAGAGATTGCCTTTTATAACTACTTTACAACAGCTTACAAGGTTAAAGCAACAACTTGAATAAAGGGCATAAAATAGCAATAAATGGCTAGAGACAGGAATTTAAAAAATACTATAACATTACCATATTATATAGAAATAATGAAAATCCAATAAAACTTCTTTATAGGAATCTGTGCTTACCAAGTCGTCTTTGATTTCACTGTCATCTTTTGCTTTGTCTTGGGTTACCGGAGGTGCAAAAGAACCGTGAAGAGAAACAATCAAAAATATTGTACACAATGTGAGCCTCATTTTATGCTAGAATAAAAATTTTAATTCAATTATTTTTTGCATGTCAAGAAAATACAATAAAACATTGTGAAATGTGTAACCTACGCTTGATGAAGTCTGAATTACAACAATTCACCACAAATTTACAGCTCTTTTATTAATATCTATTAGCAAAAATCAAAATCAATTATTTCTTATCGATTAGAATTTTATCTTTGCGAACCAAAATACAACAATTTTTTGCAATTGTCTGTCATTCTATTAACTATTATGACCACGTACTCTCTTAAATATCACAGACTACCATTTTTTAAAAATTATCACAGACTGAAAATATTATTTTGTATGAATATTGTGCGTTTTCCAATTACAGAGCATAATGCGACTCAGTGCCGCACAATGCCGCATTATTCTGAAGCTTAATTGGAACGTGAATTAGTTTTCAAATGCATCAGCAGAGTGCGCAAAGTCAGTGTTGAAAAAAAAAAATGTTCTGAATAGAGTTAGCAACCTCATTAATGTATAAATAATGTGGTAAACAATAATAATTGGTTGAAACTATTTACGCTTATTTTAAGTAAAATGGGATTTTGATTATTTCATTAACATTTTTTTACTGAAATAAGAGAAAACCTTTAAAGAATATAAGGTTTTATCAAGCTAAATTAGCAGTAAAATATTTAGTTTCATGTAAGAAGTTTACATCATTTACGTTTTTGAGTAATTTTTTAAATGATTTCTAAAAAAATTATATACTTTTTCAAAACCATTTCAATGTTTACAAAAGTATAATCCTGTAAAATAAATTTGTTTACAGATCCGAATTTTAAAATGAAATTGTATTCATATTTTAAATGTGGAATATAAAAAAAGTAACTATTTATACCTTCATCCATACTTATATTTTTTTTTTAGCAGTTTGAAATAACTTTAATTATTTTCAAAATCTACGACAAAACGAAAGCCTTACAAATTTTTCAACAATAAATAATATTTACTAACGAAAATTTCGATCAATGCCAACTTAAAGAAAAACACTGGTCAATTTTCTGTCACTGTGTTGGTATTGATTGCGAGAAGCACGCGAGAGCATTACTTTTGAGAGTGCTCAATTGTGCGAAGCGTTGCCGTAGTTGGAACATTCAGCGTTAAGCATTATGCCGCATAATGCGCTCTAGTGCTGTAATTGGAAAACGCACATTGTGCGTTTACTTACAAAATATTTTACTCTATATCTTTTTCGATGATTATGTTACACGAGGGTGTATCGGTGAGGACTCGCGAGGGGGGTTTTAAGGCTCATTCGAGGCGTTTGTCCCCTTCGGATGGTGTGCTGGCATTTTGTCCTTGATGAGGGCTGCAACGCGCGAAGAGACAGAAGTCTCGACTCTCAGCGCGCAGCCGATGTCTTAATGTGTATGTTGTAAGGATCAGTCCTGAGGTCGTGTTGCTATCGGTGGTAGCGGGCAGACTCGCGGCTTGCGGTCAAACTCCGCCAGGTGAGAGCCCTGGTTTCCCCGGGGGAGGCCCAACGAGGCAACCAGCGGTCAAAGCCGCGGTTTCTGCCGTGGTTTCAAATCCGTTGTTGTCAGTATCCGTGGAGAATAACTCACTCCAAACCGGAGGTGATCTGGCGGCCAGGGGGCTTAGTTAAGACGCCTTAACAAATTTTGTCAAAGTGCCTCGACGCGATGTTTTGGAGGTGGGGATACTGAGAGGCGTTCGCTCGATCGAACATCCCTTTCGCAAGCCCTGCGATGAATTTGTCGATACACTCTGGCAGCACTCCTTTCTAAAATGCTTTAATTTTTAAGCCCTTTTTTATACGGATTACTCTCTACTTTACTTTTTGTGCTTTTAAATTGCAAATTTTGGATAACCATTAATACAAACTTCATTTATCACGAGTAGAGCACTTTTATTCCTGATATTTTTTCATTTGAAAATTGCTGTTATTAATCCAAAATATTTTTTTTTAAATTATATTGTATCTTTACAGTCGTTTCAATCTGTCCTTTAAATTTTATTATTCTTATCTGTGACGTGAGTGCTAGAGTGCTGTAATTTTTTTTAATAAGTATATTCTGTATGGCCTAATGGTCTAGATACTAATTACCAGGCCATAAACTCCAACAAAAAAAGTATATTCTGTGGTGTAACGACTCGCGAGTCGCGAATTTCTTAAAATAAAATTAAATAAAAAAAATATATTTGTCTTGATTTTTTATTTTTAACGTAGTTATCAAAGGTGTTTAAGTGAATTCATATTTAATTACACTCCAATACAGTGAACTTTTCAATTTCGAATTAAAATGGATTTCAAAATGCATGAATACACCCATGTTATCGTTAGTAAATCATCGCCACGACTAGACCGGGCCGATATTAATGACTCAAGACGCCAATACGATTGCTATATAAGACTACTGAGTGAATTAAATTTGGAAATAATTGAAATCGAAGCTGGTTCATCATTCCCTGAGGCTGTCGTATTGGAAGACATTGCACTTGTGTGCCATGGCATTGCTTTGCTTCTCAAACCCAAAACGGGACAAGAACAGATAGTAAGTTCGTTTTCAAGTTCTTTTTTTAAATTAAAATTGTCTCCAATTTTGTCTTGAACAATTTGTTGTTTAAAATTAAAAAGTGTAATAATTAATATGATGTGATGCATAGAAACAATATGTACACATACCACAATAAATTATGGCAGCTCTAGATTTCTAGCAGCTAGCAAGCTTAAATTGATGCTTACATTTTTTATAGGTAAAATCTGTAAAACAAGCTCTCAAAGATGACCTTGGCCAAACAGTAATTGAATTGTCTGACCCGGATGCTAAGTTGCTAGGATCTGATGTCTTGTTCACAGGTATTCTAGAAACAAACCTTAAGCATGTAATAGAAAAATTAAAAATATTTAATAATGATTTTCCATTTTCATTACCACAGTTTCTGAGCAATAGCTTTTTGTGACATTTATATGTGGTGAAATTATCTCTGGGAAGTAGTTTAGGAGAACATATAGACAGAGGTATTTCTAACACCTTCCTTTACTGCATGCTTCATCATGATTGGCAACAAATTATCATAGAATATTCATTAAAGAACAATACAAATAGTTTTGTACAAAGAAAAGAAGATTTTTTTCAAATGTTTGTCTTTTGCTAACCTATGTTAATTTATATATTTTTTTTTAAGGAAATATATAAGACTGATTTCAGTTGAGCTCCAAGGTAGTTCTATTTTTAAGCATGAATATTAACGTTTCCAGGTCGTGAGTTTTTTGTGGGTATTTGTGAAACAACTAATGAAGCTGGCGCAAGTGCAGTGGCAGCGGCTTTTCCTGAATTTCCATGTACACCAATCAAGGTATGCTTTTTAAAATTGATATGTTGAGATCAAAGGATATCCATTTATCCATATTTTATGATTGTCATAAATATTTATTATTAAATTATTGCTGTTATTTTCCATAATATTAGAAAATTTGCAGTTTATATATAAAAAAGTTCCATCTGCCAGTCAATATGACTGATTTGTATGAATTTAACATAAAATAACTGTAGACACAGATATGATATATCTGTATGTGTACTTTGTTTACACTTTCATTACTCAGTCTCGTAGCAATAATGTAGCTAAAAATAAAATATGAAAATTAGAATTTCCTGAGATTCTTGCAAATATAACAAACTTGTAGAGATTGATAAATTTTTGTTAAGGTTAGGTTTGTACAATGTGCAATAGGTTAAAGTCCAAAGGTCATGCCTCCTAATTGAGCAATTGTCATGAGAATGTATTAATGTGTACTTAAAGGAATGTGTTCCTATTTTTTATTATTGATTTTTGTTCTAAAATAGTATCTATTTAAAAGGAGTTTACATTATTTTGAATCAATATTGTAAAAATTATTTTATATAGCTGTTGTATATAATTATAATACCTGATATATCATTAAATCACTGTTGAAGCTTTTAAAGAACACATTGACAAGGTCAAACAGATATTTTATTAAATTGGTAAATTATCATTTATCATGAGTTTCCTTTACAAATATAGCCAGAATATTCAGGAATGTGTCATCATTGACTAATATCCTTGATAACAAATTCTGGGCTTTCAAATAAAATTAAATATATTTAGAAATGTTGGTTTTTTAATGTAATATGATCTATATACATAAGTTAATTATTTTTGATGTCACTTAAGATTTAAGTTTAAGAACCCAGTTATATCATCATTGTTTAACCCTTTTGATAGTTCTTCTGAGAACACAACAGGAACAAAGCTATTTCTTTTATTTTTGAAATTCATTATTTTTTGCAGTGAGATCGAATACTCTTTTACACTATAGTATGATCTCTTTTTACCAAACAGTGAATTGAATTGCTAAAACACTAATAATGAATTTATTAATGTATTGAATTTAGTTTTTAAGGGTAGTCAAACCTAGCTATGCTCAGCATCTGAGATATCCCTGAATGTAGGAGTCCTGGCTTTAAATAACCACAGAAGGCTGATGACCAACAGCCTAAAAAACTGGCAGATTTGTGATTGTGTACCATTTTCCTGTTTGTTATGTACTTACATAAAACTCTATCTAATGCAATTTAATCAATTTTCAGGTTACAAACGGTGCACAGCATTTGAAGAAATACATAACAGTCGCTGGACCAGATATTTTATGTGTAGCAGCGAGTAAGGAAGCAAAGGAGTTGTTGAAACGGATGGAAAGGGAAGCAAGTTTCTCATATCAGACACTCACAGTGCCTGAAGAGGAAGCAGCCAATTGTCTATACGCCAATGGTACATTGATACACAGAGCTATCGAGGAGATACCGCAGTCATTTAAGGTGAGTTGAAAGAGTCTGGAAAAAATCGATTTTCTTATTACATAATATTGACACAAAGACTTTAAAAACCGCTTCTTGCTTTTGAAGGCATTAGCTAATTTATGAACTTAACCCTAAGTTAGATTCCTGAAGTTCTTTTGTATGCTCCAGATGTCCATAGTCATGTTCTGCCTACTTATAAGTAGGTGGTTGAATCTTGTGTGGGCCTGAAAATATATGTGGTCCGTAGTAGTCTCGTCTTCAGAAATTACGGTCTACTTTCATCAGGGATAGCCTATAGATTAGCATAAACAGTCCAGACTCCAGAGGACTTTCACATTTTTGCTTGTCTTAATAATAGTACATTCGTATTATATTCATGTGTCTGCTAACATAAAGGTAGAAATTGTTGCCGTTTTTTGAAAGATATACAAGAAGTAGAATAAGGGTCGCCTCCTTGTACGTCTTGGCTCAGATGAGAGTCGCACGCTGAACCGCCACTATGGCAACACAGCTCAAAGATTTATTTTGATAATATATAAAAAAATATTTTCAGGTGTTTTGTGAGAAAATTGATTTCTCCCGCCGATCGATATGTTTCTCCGAGCTGTCGAAGATATCGTCAGGACTTAGTGCTTGCTGCTTGCTGTTAAGGAAGCCATTTACAACATAAATTATCCACTGTTTGGATGGTTTGGGAATTATTTATCTTTTATTCGATACTTTTAACTTATTACGTTAACAAACACGTTACCTAGTCTTTAACAGTTGTCAGCGAGAGAAGTTGTTTACAAGTAACTTTTTTTTATTTCATCAAACTGTAATCATCACACATAGATTAATAATAATTTATATTCTACTTTTACCACAATAAAACCCAAACAAATGTTTTACGTACAGTTAAAAATTAATTATTTAAAAAAATTCATAAACACCATAACAGTTTTTATTAAATATTTATATTGCGGTTAGATTAAACGTTTTATTACTAAATACAAATATATTGTGGATAATCTCATGAAAAATGTAGGAATGCAGTTTCATCGAAAAATCATACATTGGTGTTCCATCTGACGGGTGTGTTCTACAAACGAAACCACTTATTTTTGATGGACATTCTTAGGAGATGTCAAATGTCATGTAAAACTTATTGACGTTTAGTGTGAATACCGTAAATGGCGTTTAAATCCCATGAGTATGGCAACATAGAGTTTGTGCTTAAATAAATTGTCAAACTCAAAATAACTTTATTAATATAGGTAACCAAGTACAATTATGAATGTTAACGGAAAAGTTAAATTGATTCTAAATTAGACATAATAGTTAACCAGTAGAGTAAAGTATACATTGTATAAAATTTATTTTAAATTATTGAACTTTAAAAGTACCAGGATTCTAACAATTTATTCCTTACCTTAACAAAAGGCTAAACACGTGTTCATATTATAGGATAATCTATTTAAATGCTGTTTTCGGCTTTGGTAATCTTAATGCAAAAGTGTAAAAATAGTGATTGATTCGCTAGGCATTTTTCCAGGTAAAACGGAAAATACTTTTATTTACAATTGAAATCATAATACCCAAGTACCTCATTTTTAGTTGTAGTACTTTAGCCATTCCCTAAGTCTTAAGACTGATTTTTTAATCTTTTATTCTATATAAATGATAAATGTTATAATGCACAAAATGTCTCTTAACCGGCTCCAGTACCTTCCAAAATATTTAAATATTGAGTACCATCCACTGAAGTTATTAAAATATCATAATTGTAGTAAAAAAAACTCAAACAAACGTGTGCACCCACCAGTGTTAGTTACTTAGTTGGCTTTTTATGGCAATATTTTCTTTTCTGAATATTTTTAATAAAATTCATATAAATTAAATACATAATTATAAAAATTAAAAAAAAAGTACGAATTCTATATCGCATGTGCATTGTGCATATTAATAAAGCATTTGAAATTAATTTGACCAATATAAAAAGTTTTTTAAGTGATACAAATAAATACTTTGAAGGGATGAAAAAATTATTTTATCATTCCTTTTTGTATGTAAACGTTAACCATCGCACAAAATTAATACTTAAAAAAATCTCTTATATAAGATTCAAAAACTTCCGTATATAATAATATATTATTAGTATTCTTATATCCAATACGAACGTATATGGCGGGACGGGTCATGCGCTAAGTCTCGATTCTGAAACTTATCATCTCTGCTTATTCTAAAGTAATTTTATTAGTTAAATATGCTTAACGCACAAATGAATATATTTAAAACAGTCGTTATCGAATCTCGAATAGTTGGATTTGCAAAGCATCAAATAGAGGAAAAGGATCTTAAATCTAATGAGACTTAAATATATTTACCCTGTAGATAACAGGGTGTAATAAGACCGCATTGATAACAGCGTAAAATGGTTAGTTTTATTCGGATTTACAGAATATAAACTTTTCGTGACAATAATTTAAATTACTTTTTAAATTTCTACATAGATCTTGTGAAAGGAAGAGGATTAACACCCGACATAAAGTCAAAAGTAAAGTTATTTAATACACATCGTTTACAAGCTTTATAAATTTGGTGCATTTTTTAAATATTACAAGTTTCAAATAAACAGGGCGCAGTTTTTTTTTAACAATTATTATTAATATTAGTTTGAACAATGTCATCACAATTTTTAGGTTTAATTTTTTTGTGTGTTAACTGTATCATGTCTTTTATGTATTTCTTGTGTAACAAGACAATTGTGTTTATTCATGTTTGAACTGAAAATGTCATGGAACTCAGTTCTATGATGCGCAAAAATGTGTTTATTTTTTAATTTAATTTTTCTTGTATAACAAGTCAATTTAAGTTATTAAAAACAATAAACCTATAAGCTATTTTAGTGTGAACTATGTTAATGTCATCACAATAACACTTTAATATTAGCGCGTAATAAGTTGGGTAATATATTATTAAAAATGTATGTTACCCGTAAATTGATCATTCGTCAACTAAATCACTTACACTGTTCTAACTAAACTACACCGATTTACTGAATTCCTCTTAGGATCGAGAAAATACCGTACAAATCGTAATAGGCCGGCAGCGCACTGTCCTGTCTGCGAGCGTGCTGTCCTAGTAAAAAAACAACGTTCTGTTAGTCGAATTTGCGTAAAGACAAGTACTTTATTAAAACAGTTTGAGTGATTTTTTAGAATATTACGATTTTAAAAACCACTTCAAGGTATTAAATCTCAATAAATTATAAGTATTTTATCAATGTTTTAAACGTAAAAGTATTTATTGTATTGTTGATTTGTAGATGTGAAAATTTTATGTGTTTATCTTCCATAGATTTAGCAATGTACGAGCACACCCAGTATTTAAATTTTCTATCGAGGTTATTTACGGACTTAAATCTATAGCTCTACCGGCTGACCGTTCAATTCTGAATATCCTTAAATATAATATATATTTAACATTTGGAACTATTATGTAATACTTCCAAATATTCGGTAGACATATTCAAAATACGAGTACCTTAATGTAATTGTGTCGAGTGTAACGAATAAATAAAATTTGTTTAGCAAAATCTACCAGTCGTAACACGTTATGACTGGTATTTTGATTTTAACAGAATATACGCACAAAGAATTGCTCTGTTTTTAATGTACAATTCGATTTAGTTATAGAGGCGGATATTTTTCTTCGGATATGAAATGAAATTCAGGTCTTGCCTTTGCTTCCTCTTTATACGAAATTATGCTAAAACTAGAAAATGTTATTGATTAATTACATAATTTTAAACTACATTATAGATTTAAGTCGTAATTTAAGATCCAGAGACAAGTTTTAGCGTTAACTGCCTGTATCAAAATATATTAACTGATGGGGAAATTATTTTGTACATAAAACTGTCTCTGGTTCTTCATCCTCAATATAGGTTAGCTGACATTTTTTATATCCTCGAAGGTGTATCTTAGTTTAGTGCGTAATAAATGATTGAAAAAGGGATGATTTTTATTTCTTAGTTTCGATTTTACTTGAACATTATTTTCGTGCCGCTGCTACAACAATGACCCTAAGTCTACATTTAAATTGTCTCTGATTACAACTACATGTATTGATTATGCTTTTCAAAAAATAAATTTTAAACCGTGACGAATAACGCCTTGTAAAAAAAATTTTTTTTTACAAGGCGAATAATTTACGATCGATCTGAGGTCGGGAAGGGAAAGGGGGTGAGTTTTTAAGGGTAATAAACGGTTTATCTCGATTTCCGGTAAAACTGAAAGTCCTATGCAAAAAAGTCAAATGGCAAAGTTGTAGATAATAAAAAGATCTTTGAAATAAAAAGATGCTTTCTGTTCGTTGATATCTCTACTTTCCTACTATAGTAAAAAATATATATTATTATAGTTCAAAAAATTCAAAAACATTTAATAAAAATTTGAGCTATTTATTAAAATTTACACTTGAATTACTCGAAAAACGTAAGATTACACGTTATGTATCATATACTATATTTTAAGATAACTTATATTATATACCTGAGTGACGTTCGAAACATTTTAGCCCATCAAAAGGTATAATTTCAAAGAGAAGTGGGGAAGGGGATGGCGGGTCTGGGCCTTACTGCATACCTGCTATTTAGTAGCAGCTGTAAAAAACCGTTAGCCTAGCCATTATTCGAGATACAGAGCAGTGAACAACGTCGTTTATAAAAATACACGTACAGGCTGAGTTACTTAAAGAGGATTGTGACAAATTTACTTTAAAAAAGAAAACTAGGAATCTGCATAGCAAGGTAAATACTATCTTTATTTTAATCTGTATTCAACTCAAACATAAAAATAGTAATATTTTCTTTCAAAAATAGTATGCTTAACGTAACATAACTTAAAAAATTAAAATTGAATGATATAATACAAGTACATATTATAATACAATCTCTTAATTTTGCACAAACTAATTTAGTTATACTCACGGTAAAATTGTAAAGGCATTATTAATTCGATTTTGCCTTTTCAGATTATCTGTATGGATTAATCTGTTTGTAATCAATAAGGCACATGATAAGCAAGTGTATGAAATAAAAAAAGGCAGCTTTGAATCGTTTAGTGTCTAGCAAGAAAAGAATAGACAATAAATACAAAAAATTAAAAGATTTACTATAGTAATATATTTTTTTTACCATCGGAAAATAGAGATTTCAGCGAACAGAAAGCACATCAACTTCTTGAAAAAAGCTGATATTTTGACGGGTGAATTTTCGTCTGAAAATTAGGGTGCTTTTTCGATATTCATTCAAAATAACGTGAAAAAATAAATATTTCAAATCAAATAAATTACAGCGTATTTAGGACATAAAAAGGTTAGGTTTCACCATATGTCGTGGTAAAAAAAATACCAAAAACTTGGTTTTTTGAATTTTTCACATACATTTTGAGGTTATGTGAAAAAAGTGTAAATTCAAAAGTTTTAGATCTTTTTAGTATCTACAACTTTGCCATAAAGTCTTTTTTCCATAGGACTTTTAGTCACCAAAAATCACAAAAATTCAAATCTCACCCTCATCCCCTTCCCGACCTCAGATCGCCCGTAAATTATTTTCCCTTTCATTTTTATAATATTCTCCTCCTTTTCCAATGGTTTTCATCCTAATATTATTTTTCTTGGTTTTTA